CTGTTGATTATACCGTACTGACAATTTGATAAAATATACACCAAAAGTCCAAGGAGCAAAGAATGGTGCTCACAAACTATCTTTTCTTATTTTCCAAAATCAAAAGAAAATAAACAGTAGTTTTGAATCAAACCCCGTGTTAATCTTTTCTTGCAACAACTTCAAGCTGTTGAAGATCAATATGCACCATATTGTGACGTACAACTAATAAACTTAGGTCAGATGATAATTGCTTTGATTTACTGAATATCAGCTAGACAAATTTACTACATATCAACAATATGATCTTGCAGAGTTCTCATAATCATAGCCTATTTCATAGGCATATAACAATTTACAAAAACTGGCCATATGATATTGATTTAATTGAAAGAAGAAAGCATTACAGCAAGATAATCTTGCAAAATTCTGATGTTCAAAGCTGTCGCCTATTTCTTGGCATTTAATACCCGATGCTAATAATTTGTCACTCGATATCACTAGGTTTACCTATATTACTTCTTTACCAGGCTTGAAATATGATATATCAATCTAGAAACTGTTTCATATCACTCCTAATACTCTGATACTCTGATACTCTGATACTCTGATACTCTGATACTCTGATACTCTGATACTCTGATACTCTGATACTCTGATACTCTGATACTCTGATATTCTGATATTCTGATATTCTGAATAATTGCTTTTAATACCATTTTGTTTAAAACTGATATTTCAGTAAGTGCCTTCTTGTGCTTCAATTTATTAGCATTGGTCTAGAACAATACAGAAACAATATTTTGTACACACTAAGAAGTGCGAGAAAAACAAAATGCATCCACATTTTTTACTTTTAAAGCTACAAAATGTTGGAACAATATACAGACCCTGTTTTGAATTCTCTTTGTACAGACCTTAATTTCTCTTCTTTAATATCACGTTGCAAACTAAGCTTTCTGCCCTCTACACAGCAATCGCTTCGCGTAGATACCTTGCTTTAACAAACTCTCTGATAACTGATAAACTAAGATCGATTGAGTTTCTTCATGTTTCAGCTCAACGTTTGTTCCTTCATGTGCTAGGCGTGAGCAACTTCATAAGAGGAATTTTGTACCGACTGTTATAAAATTCCCAAACCAAATAAAATTGTCCTGTTATGCTACATACATGTTGTCCAAATTTCATTGGAACCGCTACTAGTTACCGAAACATGCATATCAAATATATGATAAGATGTACACTTTGTGTATATAAAACTTTAAAGTTCTATGTTGCTAAGTGAAACTCTAGCGTTTTTTCTAAAAAAAATGAACAGCCAGCTTTTAAAAATGCAACATTGATGGGTTTTCACGACTTTCTCAAACTTAAAACTTTTCTGTTCTTTACAACAGCATTGTATTTTCAACATCCCCCACTGTACGACAGACCAGCAAACAGTAACGTCTCCAAATATCTTATCTAAATACAATTAAAGCCATCTTAATTCACATATCTTCAACCTTCACTAAAAGGTAGATCTCTTATCAAGGTGATATCCTTAACATTACGGTTACTTCATTGGTGAGAAAATGATTCTGAACATCCAGCTATTTACCATTGATAAAAATACGTAGAAAAGGAATATCGTATTTTTTTCAATTATGAATTAATTTTCCAATGATAAGTATCACTGGAAAGAAGATATATTTTCAAAGAAAATGACAGAATTTAACTAACAAAGCCCTTTGCTTTTACTGTAAATGAAAATTGAAGTGTATGAACTCTGCCAATGCTGAAATGTCTAACGAAAGCAAAACTATCTGTGTACAATGATGAAGTTGAAAAATAAAGACATTAACTCATCTGAGGCAATATTTCGTCAGCTTAGCAATTTAAGACACTTAAAACATTCCATTTCATTTCAAGTTTCATTGGCGCAAGATCCTGATATTCAAATCATAAGCAAGCAGTTAAAGATACAATTAATCAGAAATGAAACAAAAAATGTATTAGAAAAACACAGTAGTAAATAAATCCTAAAAGTTGTAGGAAATGTGGCATTTTTCAATTGTCTTTCACCCCCCTGCTTTCTGGTCATCTTGCCATGTCTCTCGCTGCACGAAATCATATCTATCAATCTTTAAGTCGAACCAGATCAGTCAAGTCAATGCAAACCAGTCAAGACAAACTAGAGAGCTGAGATAAAATGGAATTGTGAAACCATTTTAACGGAATATGTGATTATTTTAAAATTATAAAAGCTTAAATATATTTTGGATACCAACTTGCCATTATTCCTATAGGTAAACCGCTTCCTTGCCCAGCTTTTGATGAGCGTTTACCTGCATTTGTGAGCTATTTTCTATCCATACCAAGCAAAGCGTTCAATTTCCAATAAATTATATCATTACATTTTGAATGTCTGCGGTATATAATGAACTGTGAAGAATCAAAAGTTAAATTGTCTTCTTCTTATGTAACTAGGGAAGGAAAAGTCTAGCGAAAAGTTATATAGAAGTAGCAAGATTTGATTATGAGTAATTTACAAGAGCAAAAGCACGATAAAATTTGATGTATATTTTATTTTGCAAGCGAATTAAGACTGCTGGTCAAAATGGACTTCGTTTTCTGATAATGAGGTCCAAATCAGCTTGCATAGCTGCCAGTATTTTAAAATAAATTTGTATGTAAAATTTGTATGCATGAATTTGAGTCTCTTGCGTCGCTTCTTCGCGCTAACGTCTCCCCGTTATCTTTATCTCCCTCACAAGCCGAAACATGCCTACACCGTAATGCACACAAACATGCAAAACAGATCAAATATCCATCGAAATGCTGAGTCGCAATGTTATTAGAAGAGTGAATGTGATTATGTAGTCCCAAGCAGCCCCAATGACCCAATAAAGGACATCCATGTTCTTATTCCTGAAGTATGAAACTGATAAGTAACTGCAGAGGGTAGTAAGGTAGTAACTGCAGAGGGTAAGGAAAAGCATGCAATGCAAAACTGATATTGTCTCCAAACGTTAAAAGCCAGAAAATTATACACCAGATTTCTCACAAAATGGATTAAAGCAGCATTCAAGCTGAAATACATTCGAGAGACTGCAACACCAACGATTCAGGTTTGAGGTCGATAACATTTTCCTAAGACATTGCAATTGCTGAGAAAAATGTTGGTCTATGTTATAAAAACAGTTGACATTTTTGGTTGCAAATATTCGGATAGATTTAGTTCTTAAATAGAAGAAGCAAAAAGGGAGAAGCGATTGTTGCAGTGAAGAAAGAAAATTTAATATTAACTGAAATAAAAATAACAACTACTGTTTTCTTCAATTCTATATCCTATGAATTTCATTTAGTCCCTTAAATCTTACTTTTAAAGGACAAAAAGCTTCTATTGCAAAGTATTTGCTTATTGTTGGCCATGCATAAATGGGTTTAGCTCTAAACATTTTGAATCCTAATACAATAAAGTGTATGGAATGATTATATGTACAGGAAAAAATTTAGTGAAAGTATGCTAATCAAAATGCTGATAAAGATAATTAAAACCATGCCAAAAATATCTTATTTCAAATTTAAATTAGCAATTTCGAAGATTACTTTCACAGATGTGACTAAACTTTTTCTTAAAGCTCTTTTATAAATCCTCGTGTTACCATTGTTAAAAGTGGCAAAATTGAAGGAATAAGTTTCTCGTTATCCCGTATGCAATCCAATTTTGTACATTTATTTCACATACAGGTGAGACTATATCAATTTGTTTATGCTGTTAGTATCACAACGTGATCAGCCATAGTCAACTATTTGTTGATGGTTCCATGCACACTGGATGCCGCCATGTTTGCTATGATATTAATTAACACCGCTGTCTCCAGCAAGATGAAATCAATATGTTATTTGCAAATAATTTTTTTAGATTAACTGTTTTCTAGCTATCATTATCATAATAGCTAATAATATTTCGAGTATAAATGGTTTAGGAACGGCTAATAAACCAACATATTGATATTACCATGAATGGTCATTCTGCGAGTCTATATAGATATCTTTGAAAACTAAGTTCAGTACGCATGTTTATTTTATCCATAGCTTCGCCGATGTATCTTAAGTCTGGTTGTGCATAACTGTAGACCTTAAGTGATTATAAAAATAGTCGTTCATGATTATCATGCAAAGCCTTGCATGCTCAACTAAGATGAAGGAAGAAACATAAACCAGGCCTTGTACGAATCTCATTGGCTTAAGCAACGTTTACAGTAAGCTTATCACTAGAAAGCTGCTTGAAAAGATATTGCTAGAATTGAAACTTTGTATGTTAGGATAAAGGTCAGAAGTCAGAAGCCAGATATCAGTGGTCAAAAGGCAGTGGTCATCTGAATAGACGGATTATCCAATCTATGCGCGATCCTAAATGTTTGATAAAACATAAACACCATAGGATTTAATTCACAAACTTATATCGTTGCTTGGTTAAATATCTATCTATGAATTAATATACACACATATAAATATAACCACTTATAAATACACATATATAAACATATGTTTGGGGACAGTTTGTAAAGCGGAAAATCAAGCCAATGCCAGAGACTCATTTAATGCGTGAAGCTGCTTGAATCATAGCTCCATGGCAATTTGCGAAACTCCACTACCTGTTGCCTTATGATGTGATTTTATTTTTTGATTCTGTGTACTTTTTGATTCTTTTTGCATATTGCAAAGGCTGTTTTTCATTGCTATTGTAACTGTCACACTCATCAGTTGATTCTATATTCCTGAAGATTTCAAATTTTAAGAAGTCGAAGAAACAATTCAAGATGAAATTAGGCCCATTTAGCAAGAGTCGATTATAATTTGCTAATGACAAGCTGGGTTAAAATGAAGCAAGCAAAGAAGGAAAGAAACTGCACTTTTTTATTTATGCAAAAACGCCTTATGAATTTAAATCGCTGTCCAGCTACTTTTCGATGTTGCCAGGTTTTCAAAGCATATGCATATAAGTGTATAATTTACATTTCGCTTGACCTTTTCAGGTTTAACCCTTCACCCAACCACGAGAAATCACCCTCCTTATTAGCACAGCGTCAAAGAGGGTAATATACAACAGCTGGAACTCGTGGTTTATGGTGACTCGATGAGCAGCCTCTAGCAAGGTACTTACAGCTATATGCATCTACACTCTACATTCTGTGAATTCCATACGCATAAATTTCAATGTTAAATATGGTAATATGTTGCCTCTATGCTAAATAGCACTTAATACATAAATGTTACTGACCGCTATATCAGACTGACCACTACTTTTAAAATTACTGACGACGATCAAAGAAAATACAAGTCAAGATTTTCAAGCACTAATTTCACACATTTGATTGATAACTGGAGTAAACGATCAACTGAACTCACCAACTCGATCCACTCCGCCACCGTCAACCTGTGCTGTAGCGTACTACTTCAGATTCCGGTCTGATGCCAATGCCCCGCTTGCTACAGCATAAATAGGCTTTGGATGGTGAACAACTCCACAACAAAGGCCGCAGCCCATTTATTTGAAGCCATTGTTTTCCTCGGCCATGTTATTGTTAATGTCCCTTGGAGTAAATTCCAACTTCAGTTCTTTAGTACCATTGTGAATTAATTAAAATAGGTTTGCTGACTTCTATACTCTTATTCCAATCATTAAATCAGTTGTATTATGAAATATCGTTACTTCTACTAATGGACAGGGTTCCAACGGCAACTTTCTATAACTAAACAAGTGTTCTAGAGTTGAAACCCAGAGTTACAGAAAGAACTTTTCTTTACGGTCTTTGTACAAAAATTGGACGGCACATACTAAATGAAAAAGACTGAGACAGTTCCACAAGAAGGATATTTGTTAGAACCATTTAGGAAAACTTTTGATGAAAGCACCCAGTCAATGTGACTACAATTCATAGTACAAAGTCTTCAACCTGAACATTAATGAATAAATCTACCATGCGATTCAACACATCGCTATAATTTTCAGAATATTCTAGTAGTTTAAAATCAAATTAGAGCGGTTTGCTGTATTTCTGGTTCTATTTAGTCGGATGGTCGCCCGAAGAGCCATGTGGACGTGAAGGGCCAAGAACCTTCATTTTTAATCCATAAAATGAAATTTGCTAAAGACAGGGCGTCTGGAGGGGGCTCTTGCCCAAGGGGCAGCCTTTCCTCCGTTATCTATGCATACCTGTTCGTCGTGTCAAAACTCATCCGTCAGATGGTTGTAAGTGTCGTGTGAGCAATAACGCCCCGGTGCATGCAAGACCGCAACACCCCCTTTGGATCGTGAGAAACGGGAGGCTCCATATGTTATCTACGGAGAGAATGCCATGGACTTGGTTTAGAAACGTCAATAAAATAATCTACACTCACAGTTAAAGCGACGCTTCCTCAAGCATGACAATCATTCTAGGGGAAGGTATGTGTTGGTTCTGTCGCGCGGCACATAATTTTGCCCGCCTTATTATCAAACAAATGGAGTTTCCAGTGATATCGTTGCCCGAAGAGGGAAGTGGGAATTCGATTTTATATTGAAGAGGATTGTCACAAAAAAGGTAATATGAAAAGACAGACACGCCGGCGCTGACGGGGCTGTGGAGGGGCTGTAGCCCCCTCACTTTTCTGCTGAAGTATGATATTAATGTTGTGTCATCAAAGGTAATTGTGGAAAAACAAAAATTGAGCATATTTACGTTTTACTATTGGTTTGCTCTTTTTCTTGGTGCTTTTCCCCCGTTGCCATTTTTGAGTGCAGGCATCCCTGCCAGTGTCAGAATAGCCATTTAGAAAGATTGTGGCTTTCCCGTGACCATATATGCGTCAAAGAATTCTATGTTAGCATTGATATCACACTAATCTACAAAAACCATTGCTACTTTGCATGTTTGTCCATATTATGGTGACGGTGATTCAAAAATGTGGAGTTGTATCTTGCCTAAATCTGGCTAGCCTGGCTAAACTGTTTGGCTAAAGTCAAGCAATTCTTTCCTTTCATGACCGCCTATGCTTGATTCACAATACTTATCTAAAACTTGAAGCTCATGAAGAAATATTAAAGCTATTTGCAACAAGTTAGTGACATGATAAGTCATTTCTAAAACGTTTACATAAAATTTAAATTAACACATCTTTACAGGAAATTGTTATAAAAATGTCTGAAGTTTAAGACCCTTGACCTTTTGCTTTTAAGCTTAAAAATACAATTTCTTTAACCCTTAAAAAAATTTGCGGAAAAATTATGCTCTGAGAAACTTTCAACCTAATTCTATCAATGCAATTTTATGAAAAAGTTTCACATTTCAGTTAAAGTATTCTTGTAATTGTTTGTTTGACTTCTTGATAGGTGGAAACATTGCAGCAAACGATTTCACATTAAGCAGAGTGGTGAAAAATAAAAACTTTTCTAGCTAAAGATTTGTTGAAAAATGTTTTTGATCAATAAAGTAGCTAGCTCTCTCAAATAAAAAGAACAAAACTTCAATAAAAACTGCCTGCTTTCTTTCAAAACAGAGATGCTACTGATTTCTTCCTTTTACCTGGCCAACAAACCTTGACTTTGTCTGTGGTTTCAAGCTAACTGACAATCCACTGAATATCAATAAATATATTACCATCGTGAAAAAACCTAGCATCATGTACTTGGAATTTATGCTGCTCAGCGCTTCTAGCCAAAAGATTCTTTGAAATGAAAATTTCTACCCTTTAGAAAATATAAACTGTTCAAAATGCTGCTGATAGACAGAATCTGAAAGAAAGTAGAGGCTCTTTTTTTCTTGGAGTGATTTGAGAATTCTCTCAATACTTCATATTCTTTTTACTCTTTGTTTGACTGGTTAATAAACTGGTTTACCATATCAGTTTCTTATCATTTCTTGTGTTTATTGGATAAAGTGGACTCATAACTGACTTCTTTGCTCTATAGAATAGCATTATGTGTAAGCATGGACCATAGATGCGGGAGAGGGTACTGAAGAGGCAAAGATCCCCAAAAATTTTTAAAATGTACTCAAAACAATTCTATTATTAATCTTGCTCTCGGTTTAAGATTGCTCTCGGTTTAAGCAGCACCCCAGAATAAATTTTTTGCATCATTTCAAAATATGCACCTTTTATGGATGAATTATTTTCTATAAATGAAAGCCCATATTACTTAAGAAACTCCCAATTCAAAACAGCGGAGCCACATTAGAAAATTTATAGATTTAATACCATATCATACAGATGTAGCCAAATATGTAATTCATTTCGAAATGAAATAAAATCCTCCCTAACTTTACAAATATTCAACAAAAATATCCAAGAATTTTTATCGTTCAATTATACTGGTGATCTTTGCAAGGAATACACATGCAACATCGGTTGCATTTGATTTACATTTTATTTAGCGTTGGTAATTTAAATTAGCTGGTTTTAATTACCTTGAGTATAGCTAGAGATTGTACAAATTTTACAAAAAAATGAGAAAAAATGCTCCGCTGTCCCTGAGTGTAGTTGAAAACTGATGTCTATACCCTTTTGATATTACCAAAGTGTCTTTGAAAAAAGTTTAGATTTGTTTGTACTAATGCTCAAAAATGTGAACAAGGACATAGACATGGCACTCTTCTTTTGTAGAAGAAATGTGATGCACATTTGCTGTAGAAGGATTGCGTTGACAGCTTACTGAAAATGGTGGAGTTATGACAGCTCTGTATTTGATAAATAAGAGGGTAGTTTCTTAGACGCAATTCACCTAAGGACACTGTTGTTTCTTTCTGGTCTACTGCAAATCGTCAGAATTTGTAAAAGGATGCATATAAAACTTTTGATAGAGCTTTCTAGAGAAAACTTGGCACAGCTCCCTGTACCAAATCAATAGCAATCTGACCCCTTTTTATCATTTGATATCAGGAGACTATTCGAGTATACCCTATTTAAGAAGCTTTATGAGTTTAGAATGTTCATCAGTCTGATATCAAGATCTATAGAGAGTTTCGTCTCCGGTATTGAAAATACTACAAAACATTTCTTGGGAATAAGAAAAATTTCTACTATAGTGGTTACATAGCAGTTTACCATCTTTTTTTTAACGATATTTTTGCTTGTCGTAGAACAAGGCTCCGACCAACTTTCTTTCTGGCAAAAAGTTGCGAACAAAGCTAAATGTATTAAAGCGACAAAAAATATTCAAAAATTCGCATTCAAATAACATTTGCCCTTCTCACTTCCTTGTTCACTTTTGTCTGCTTATCAGTGATGAAGCTATTTATAGTCACGGCGGGCAATTTTAGGCATTTTTTGCACACTTTAGAATTTATACGCATTTTTTGCAAATAGAATTATAAAGAAATTTGATAGCCTTAAAGCTGAGGCAACAATGAAGGGCCTGACCCGTGAAAATCCTCCTATTTTCATCATTAAAATTTAGTGTGAATGAATCTTTTTGAAAATTCAGGAGTTCTAGATGCAACCATCCTCATGTTTTTTCATGTTTACTCAAATATTCTTAATTCAAACCTTTCCATAGTTTCGGGATGCTCGATTATCGTATGACATTATATTCGAAAATTTACACTGAATTAAAGGAGAGCTGTAGGAGTGTCGAAGCCTTTCAGCATCTTTAATATAAAGCCTCTACACGTTCTTTTATAGGAACAACTCTTATAAGAAACATCGGGCTAAGATTTGCCAAAAATTCAAGATCAAGATAAGAAACAAGGCAGGGTGAAATACAACAAAACTCAAGAAACAATACCAGCAAAAATTAAGGTGAAAATAACAACAGATAAGATGAAAGCAATGAGCAAAATAGCATAAATTACTTTATCAAGCACAGGTTAAGTCCAAACACTACTATGCACAGGAAATCCCATTACAAATTGAAGGCTGAAATTTTGCGAAAAAATAAGAACAACATATGAAACAAGGCAGGCTGAAATTCAAAAAAACTCAAGAAATAAAATACCAGCAAAATCATAATAGTATAAGAAACAAAATAAGAAATACGTGAGACTGAAATTTTGCGAAAAAATAAGAAACGCCAGGCTGAAACTAGAGCCAAGTTCTCTCCTTATGGTTGTAGTTTGCCAAACATGACCTAATGGCTGAATGCTTAGTTTGCTTTCCTTTGGTTGAGAGTACCTACAAT